ATACATATACATATACATATACATATACATATACATATACATATACATATACATATACATATACATATACATATACATATACATATACACATACACATGCACATACGCATACACATACTACACCTACACATACACATACACGTACACGTACACGTACACGTACACGTACACATACACATACACATACACACACCACACACACCACACACGCACACACCACACACACACATACACGCACGCGCACACGCACACACACACGCAAATAAGCACACAGGCATTAGCGCGTTATATAAAGTAGGATGGTATATCCATGGAAAAAAGAAGCTCCATTGATAAAGACATTTGATAATGGTAAGGCTCTAGAACATTTATAAAACATCATTCAGGGCTTTGGTTGCCTATCAGTTGGACCTTTGATGGGTCATTATTTTCAAGATGAACAGCAACAGAATGAGACTCCTAATCTTAGGCATAAGCATCGGCTCATTTTAAATATCATTTGCATGCCCCATTGCTCCCCTATCGAATTTGGTGTTCCGAAAAATATTATTTGTTCCAAATGAGGATGAGGAGGGGTCGATTTGCCTATAAATACAACTTCACATAAGAAGGAGGGAAGCGGCGTTAGCCGGGCGGCCCGACTGGTGTTCAAATAACGTACTGAACTGAACGGAAGACGTACTTTACACGCGTCTAAAAATCACCTGAATGAGAAACCAGTGGCATATTAGGACAAAAAAAACATTTCAACCCAGAAGTACGGAATTAACATTAAATAACTGATAGTGAGCGGAGTTAGAGTCGCGAGTGTGCGCACGAAAGTCAAAATCATTAGCACGTACGCATGTGGTGATGTTTTTGAACATTTTACTAAACGGCAAGAGACAGATGAGGACACAGACTTTTATTTTCTTTGTTCACTATTGTTGATAGCTACGTCTTTTAGAAAAAGCTGAAGAGTTCACATCAGCAATATTTATGTTGGTGCATGCCACCTTAATTTGAAATGCTTGCTCATAGTGAGCGTTTTAGACGATCGGGCCTCCAAATTGCAAGCACGGAAAAGTTCCTGCCTCGATGTCTCGCCAGTAGTTTCTTACCAAAGGTAGGCCTATGAATGTAGAGTCATGCATAATATTTCTACCAAAGGCGTAGACTAACACCAACGCAAGACAGGCAAACACGGCGAGAAGGCAAGACATAATTGTGAGAAAGCGGCTTCTACCAGAAGCTGACTGCACGATCCTGTACACTTTTATCGAGTCTCTTAGGGCTAAAACTTGCACTGTGTGCATTTTCTACAGAGCTCTAACAGGGAAAGTGATGTACTTAGACAAGCAAGGAGTTGGTGTGATATTAAATTGTAGTGTATTGTATAGTGTGATATTGTACTAAGCAAGGAGTCAGTAGTGATATTGTACGGTTCAGATAGGAACCAAACCGCCTCGGGCATCAAAAAGGCCGCTTAAGGTGGGAAAATCAACAAACCCGCAGAGTGCAAAAACCGCACCCTTCACGAAACTCTTTCCATGACCACATACTTTTGGCGCGTCACGCTTGCCACTGCTCCATATCACCACTGTCAGCGATGTTGCTACCATGTCTTAAAAGCTCGTTTGCGTTTAGCACTCACTGAGACCATACTTCATACTTCTTTCACAGAATCGTTTGGCAAACTTTCAAAGCAAATTTGTAATCAGCGCTCGGAACTACGTATAGTGGTATGAGTCTTATTTCAAATGGTCACTTCGACTGGAGATCCTTCCCTTGTAAGATCGAAATTACTCAACTCTGTACAAGGGGCCCCTTAACATTCCAAAATCTCGTTCTTCATAAAAAGTCAATATTAGTCATTCGAATAGGACCTATGAAATCATCATCACCACTTATTATATGGCAAGAAATCATTTCTGCCGGTTTATCTGACCCAAAATTCGGTATTACACGAGTAAGCTAGTCAACTTGGGATGGCTGGGATTTTGGGCAAGATAACAAAGCGTATATGAGTTCAAGGGAACCACGCTTACGAAGGGTGCAACATTCACCGATATGGGCGGTGCAGGATGGGGAAACTTCATGGTTTTGCTTCGGAAAGCCCACACTATGAGAAAAGTGGGCAAAGGTTAGACATAGAGTTACAAATAGGAGGAAATCCGCGTAAAAATTGCCCGCGTAAACGGAGCATTCGAACTGCTTGCAAAAACTCATAACTCACCTTGGCCTATTACCGGATTCTCGGGGGATGGAGCTCAGATCAAAGTAAACTTCCTTCTTTGGCGCGCTCTTTGTTGTGACGCACGCGTCAGTGTGCGGGCCCATTGGTATGTAGATTAGTCTCACGAGGGCTCCCCGAGAGATCGTAAGTAACTGATGCCATTTCAGTTGCCCTTCATATCCAACAAAATCGATGCGGATATTCGGCAACGCAGAGTTGATCTGACTTATACTCTTACCTTGATAGACATATCATGAGTGGCGCGTAACAGGCTTTACATCCGGGCATACACTAAGAATACCTGCGTCCTCCATCCATTTAAGGAGGATGGAGACGGCGCACAACGAGTGATAGTGTCATGTTCATCCTGTAACAAAAATGCATTGATGAAATGGGAAGAAGACGGTTAGCGGAGTATAGCCTTCTCACACTACTTGAAATGCATTGATTAAAAGAACGTCAAGGCGTTTGTTCCGGCACTGCATGCTGGCCTACGAGAACGAGATTGACGCTAGGGCTAGAGTTAAAGCGTTACATGTCCGCAATCGGAATCCGAAGTTGAACAACCGAAATAAGTGCATGACTTCACAGTTGAACTCTTATCCTTTTTTGAGAACTTTGAGATTACCGCATATCCTGTATCTTGTTACTGTCGGCCGTGTCTCATTCGTTCCTTGCTGTTAACATGTTCGAGTGGGACGGGTGGGACGTTGGCGCTGGAGGAGTCGCAAAAGGTTGGTCACATCGTTGGTACTCGCGTTGCTAGGAGATGCTGCAACTGGCTTAGAGCATTAGGTTAGGGTGCTTGACTGGGTAGCCACAGATCAGAAGCTTCGAAACACTTCCAGCTCCTTGCGACGACGACTTGTTCGAAACGTCGACCGATCATGGCAGTTCTTCTATAACGGACCTGTTTGGCTAAGCAGTGTAAGAAAGTGTGTTAATGCCTATGTTTCACGTGAACCGAGCTTAGAAATTTATTCCAAGCTTTATTCCATTTACTATCACTGCCGGTGTGTAAGAGACATGACGAAAAAGGCAGACTTTTCCCGAGTTCGTGAAGCAGTAGTGAGCTTGCAGGCATCCGCCATTAGATCAGGTGATCCATTTGTAATGCCGAGAAAAGGGAGAAATCTTTATGAACTCATGCTAGACAAGTTAGAAGGATCATAAGGCGTTCTTAATCTGATCATCGTCCCATTTCTCTCGAGATTGCAGCGAAGTCGGATGTTAGTGATGACACCAGATTAGCAAGCAGACTGTATTAGGACACTTCAGTGCAGTCGAACTGAACTGAAGACGTTAGACCAGGAAACCACCCATCATAGTGAAGAGTTGAAGCAAAGTCATTCGCCAAGAGTTGAAGCAAAGTCATTCGCCAATAATAAGTTACAAAATTAGGTTTTCTTGCAATATGCATTATTATTTAGCTAAGTGAGACTCCAATTACCTTCTAGATGGTGAAGGCTCATTCAATGCTATTTGCAGCCATGTCAAAAGGTCAGTGCTCTGACTATCTAAATAACCCGTTGCGAGTCGATCCCATCCTGGGCGGCTCCTTAGAAATATACCAACAGAGCGGGACCTAACGAAGTTTTGAAACGACTGACTGTCGAGCGGAAGCTTCGTTCCCATCCCTGCCGTATGTAGAAGTGCTTTCTCATTCCTAATATCAACAGACAGTGTAGGGTGAAACAATGCAAATGTTGCTGACCCGTTTCAGTGGGGACCCGTAACCCTCATTGTTTTCTGTGACGTGGAATTTTCAAAACAAAGCCGCTCCTCAACAAATAAAGCAATAGTGTCCTGAATGGAAAGATCGAACGTACAACCTTTACGAAATAGTTGTGATAAGAGCAGCAAATTGAAGTACATCGTGGGAGTTACTGGAAATGGTATGACGCTCTTGGTTTCGGCGGTACCGCCGTGAAAGTTGACGAAGGCAATAATGAGCGTACTGAGGGACTGATTCGACTCCGCTGGCTTGAAAAGGCCTGTGGCCTTTCCAGTAGTACAGTTCGCCAACCCACAGAGCTAATTTCGTTCAAGAGTGGTGCCGACGCCAGTTGCCCGACATCATTAGCATGGAAGAATGGCCATCCTGCTCTCCAAATCTCGATTCACTCGGCTCGTCCGTATGATCTCTTATTAGTGGAGAACCTGAAGTTTACAACTTGGTGTTCTAGAATGCAACACTGAAGAAGGGCTGGGAAAGAGTTGAAGGATACCTGCGTGCGCATGCGTGGAATTTGAGGAAGACTTTGGTTCGTATATGCAGTAGAGGATATTTTGGATTAGGGTTGTAGCTTGTTGTCGTACATGATGTAAGCAAACGTACATATGAATTCCATTGCCATTTCAGTGGAGAAGCTTCAAATATAGTGCAATGAATTGACGCTCATGATATTGGGGCACCCTGTACATCTATTCATATACCACTTGCCTAACAAAACATGAACTTGAATCATTAAAAATTGCTCTGATCTTAGGATCTACGAGGCACTCTTTTGATAGCGAAAGATAGTGATGTAATTCAAAAATTTAAATTCAGTAGAGTGTTTTTGTGCTTTCATGGACTTAGTTCATAAACTACAAAAGGTTGCTGCAGTTCAAGTTGAAAGTTTAGTCATTGTGTATCCCCGGTTACTCACAAGTCTCATCGCAGTGGGCAAGGTGCTGCTGATCATTCTCCGACATAACATGAAATTAATCACCAAGAAAAGTGTTCACAATATTAGAACCTCTGCGAAACAAAGTAACTCATTGCTGACATTAAAAACTATTGGTGATGGTAAATTTGCTACTTAAGTAGTTGAACAGCTTCGTAGTACTCAAAATGAGTTCGCACGCTACATCATAAAAATACATCATATGACATTTTCTAAAACGACCCAAGAGATTAGATTCTGAGATCATTTTGTTGCGATGGAAGAGTCGATACGAAGTTTTGTTGCTGTGCAAATCGAAAGGAGAATAATTGCATGCATTGGTTAGTGAAAAACAAACCAGCTCAAGGAAGGTAATAATGGAATGTGTTGAAATATTCCATGCCGTGAAAGTTCAATGCTCGTTGATTGCTGTAATATTTTCAACCGCCACCTTCAAATGCACTTTTATCAAATTGGTAACCGGAGTTCGTATAATAGAGAGGCTTCAATCGTTAGGGACCCCCCATCTGGGCACTGTTCAGAAATGGTGCAGAAATGCTCAAGACTCCTAGCGGAAACTTCTTCCCAAAGGTCAGTTAACAATCTACCGTTTCCTGCTCGTCGCGCTGACTTTGATATGGGGACGGAACATTCGCCCAATTCTGGATGGAAGCCCACAAAACGCGTGGCGAAATTCGTGGTGATTTAATCGAGTCTGAAGCCTTCCCTTTGGGCACAAATTTGAAGTAGGGTAGATAAGTAGCATGGTCCGGCCTACTTCTCCAATCTACTCAAGACCTGTGCCCCAATGATAGGCGCCAGAGTCGCTCAAATCACCACGAATTCCGCCGCATTGTTTGCCGCAACCATCCAGGATTGGGTGAATGTACTCATAACCCCTAGATGTAGCCGTCGGTAGTGTTCCGGTGGGACAAAGCCGTCTAGACCACCTTATGCAACACTGAAGAGGAACTGGTATGATGCCAGTGGGTGCTCATCTATTAATTTTTCTCGTCCGTGCAGTCTCAATATCTATCAACATGATTCATGAAAGGAGCCTAACTGCTAGAAAGTTAATCAACATCGGGGCGCGATTTTGGTGTTGATTTACATTCAGATTCCGTCCTACCGAAGTATATTTCAGGTGATCTTGGTGATCGGGCAGAACGCTCTCCCCATAAAAGAAAAATTCCTTGGATTTCAAGGATGCATTCAAGAATAGTGTCAGCAGAGATCAATGAGTC